CAATACTATTTAATTTCCCAATTATTATAGGTTGAGGGACCGATGCGCAATTTGAAAAAATGTTAAAACAATTAGAGACACCTGTGATATTTAAATTATTTTGCGCTAATGTTGCTTTCGTAATGGGAGCTGGTGATTGAACTTTTTGGCTAGGTCGCGAAAGAGTGTCAAAATTCGCCCTAACCATCGAATTTTGACTTATTTGTTTTTTTGAGTTTGCTGCGGGCGCCGCTGATTCGGGGCGAATCAGCGTAGACGGACCTCCTGCGCCCTGATTTCGCCCACCATTATTATTGTTATAATTTTGACCTGTATTATTAGAAAATCTGTTATTATTATAAGAATTATTATTATTAAAATTATGATTGTTTCTGTAGTTACCATTATTATTATTGTTATTAGAATTGTAAAAATGACCGTCTGTATTTCGATTTGAATTATTGTAATTTTGATATTTATTATTATATCTAGTGTTATTGTTAAAATTATTACCATTGTTGTTATAGTTTTGATTTGTATAATTATTTTTGTTGTTGTATGCCATATTACCTTTATTAAAATATGTATTATTATTTTTATTATGACTCGAATTTTGTTTATTAACCTTTGCATATTTATTATTGAATCTTGGAGTACCGTTAACCGTTAGTGTTAAAAGATCTATTTGCTTTTGCATTTTGTCTATCATTTTATCTTTGTCATTCATTTCCGTTAGCCCTGCATTCCTCTCTAGTCTTTTGATATTTTCCTCAAGTGCCACAAGTGAATCTAAGTCCATTGTTCTCAACTCTTTAACAATTTCTTCTGGTAAACCTTTCAAAATATACCTTATTACCTCCCTTTCTGTCATATTTTTATCTATTCTCCTGCACTCTTCTTTTATTTTTAGCAAATACTCTTGTACTGTTTCCGAATCACTCTTTCTCCTAGATTCTAAATTTTGACGTCTCATTCGAAGTCGTGCGTCTGAATTATAAAACTTTATCATTGTATTTTTTGCCTCATGCCAATTTAATTTTGGGTTTTCGGATTCGATAGCCTCAAAAACCGTTTCAGCCGTGTCACATAATGAAAGGGGCAACATTATTAATTTCTCCGCGTCATCCCACCTATTAGCGGTTGCTACCCTTTCGAAATTAACGAAGAATCTATCCGCGTCCTCTGTTAAGTTTCCTGAAAATGTTTGGGGTGTTCTAATTGCGTTTATGGCCATAGTAGTTATTAATTTAACTGGTTTATTTTCTAAAAGTTTTGATTGCGCAGAAATAGGTTTAGGTTCTACGGTGACCTCGCGTGAAATTTCTGATGGTTTAGCTAAAGGAAATTTGACAACGGTTTTGTCGAGATCGGTAGGGGTGTTCGATTCACTCGAAGAAGCGCTTTTTGTGCTTAGTGGAACCGGCAGAGTACTTGGAATTTTATCAAGTTTTTCTGCTTCGGAGTCCGAATCAGATTCGTATTTTTCTGAGAGGGGTGGTTGTTTGAAAACAGAACGTAATTTATTTATCAAATCTTTAGTGTGACTATTAATCGGCTGTTCTGCGTTTAAAAATGACAAAATATTAAGTAATTCCCCTTTTGTACAATAACAAAAATAATAACCTTTCGTATCTTTTTTTAAAATTTCAATTTTTTCTAAAAGGGAGATTTGTTGAAACTGTTTCGGTAAATAGAGCCGTTTACTTTCTCGTTTATAAACTTCGAATATAGTGCTTTCGTAAATTAAAGTTGCTCCTACTGGAAATTTTATAAAAGCGGTATGATCAAAAGCCTTAGAAACAGAAATACCCCTTTTCTTTCCAAATGAACTAATAACCTGATCTGGTGTTAGTTCCAAAATATTACTATCAAAACCTAATAGATTCCAAACTCTTTCGGTAATTCTACAGTTTTGATTATTAAAGGTGCGTTTTAAATAATAACTATAGAGAGGCATATAAACGTATATAAAAGATTATGTAACTCAAAACTTAATTTATAGTTATACCTAACTATACAATTGTTACTATTATAATAAAGTGAGCCAATAATAAATAAAAAATATTTAATTTATAAATTAACCGTGAAAAGCGGTATATAAAAATTGTAGTACACTTAGGGGGGGATCCCTCACTGAAAGTTTAAAATAAAACAGAGAGATCGGCGCCTCCACCAATTGTTACGTCGCTATTTAGGGGTTTAGCCTAAATGCCCGTCGACAGTATTCTAAGGGACCAACGGGGGATAGCTGGCTAGGCTATATCTACCTTAGGTACTGAAGTTTCCTATTTAATTTATATTCCCTTAGAGGAACTACCAAGGGTCGCACTACAATATATATATATAACACTTTAGGTTAACAACGATATAAATAAATATTTATTAAGCAATTTAAATATTAAATGGATAATACAACCTGCTGGACACCTAGAGATGTTATAATCCAACAGGGAGCTGACGGCGACACACACACACACTATAATATACGGGGTAGCGAAGTTAAGTTAATTATCAGGCAAAAGTAGTGATCGCGAAGATGGTAAAATGTCAACCGTCGATAGGGATATCTTAATATGGCACATTGGCCGTGAATTGCAAAAAGTTTTTATGTGTGCAGTCCGCCCTCCTGTTAGTATTGTTGTATGTCACTGTGTTAATTATATATATATGTCTATTAAACGGTACAACGATGTTATGGGAGACAGAGATATGGGCACATGCAAATGTGATCGTATCAGTGGGTTATGATAAAAAAATCACTCTGTATATATAATAATAAACTTGATTAAATATAACAACAAATATTGTATTATAAACATACATAAGAGAAATAGACAGAAAGTATTTGTATACAGATTGGTTTGGGTTTGGCCCTCACGAGAATTTTTTCAAGTATGTTACTGTCACTTAACCGGGCCCTTATAATACATTAGTATTTATAATTCTATTATATAATAAGATAATTTGAATATAACATTTTATTTTTCCTAATGTACCTAATAAATTGTTTATATTACTTTTATACACTTCTATGAAATATCAGCTATTTTTGTTTCCCTAAAGTAAGCATAAAATGCATGTACACTAATTTACTACATTTAATATAAAATTAACTTTGTTTTTTATAGTAAATAATTAGATACATAGCTTTATATATTTTTTTTTTATACAAACTTAATCAACACTTAATTTTATACATATATTTAAAAATTTTTTTTTTTGAAAAATTATGTATAACATTATTGAACTTAATTTTTGATGCAGGTTGGTTTTCAATCTATTAAAGTGCTAGGGAATTGAGTCCAAACCCAACCCAACCATTGGGTTTCGACATTTTTAATAACTTTTTATCCCACAAGTATTTTGTATTATTTTTATTAAAAATAATTTTTAAAGTTTTGTACTATGTTAAAAACGAATTTTTTATTTTTTGTTTCTAATAAAAAAAAATGTATTTTTAGAATAGTACAGTATTATTAATCGTATTTATCTCGTATATGATTTATAAGCCACTGATGTTATCGTAAAATTGAGATTCATCTATATCAACTATTGTGTCCGACGTCAAATTATAGTAACAAATATTCTTATCAAAATTGAATCTTTTACATATTCCCAGAAATAATAACCTAGCGAATTTTTTTGTAATAATTCAATAGTATTAATACAATTATAATCAGAATATTAATACTTATTGTGTATACCAAAGGCGTATTTAAGGGGGATATAGGCGATTTCCCCCTTGAATCAGCACTATCAATATTTTTTAGGCAACTTCTAAGACACATGGACCTAATGGACCTTTCTTTTGATCATCAATTTGATTTTTAGCAAAAATAATCTATAGCATGTTTATTAAAGTAAAAAAATTTAAATACCCTCTTAAAATAATTTCTGAATATGCCCAAGGGTAATACCTCATTAACAAACGTCAATCTTATACCTAATACATTTTACTATATTCTTTTCTTAAATTTTTCTGATTTTAATAATTAAATTTTTAATATATTTTTGTTACACTATCTTGAATGTAATATTTTTCCTGTACACTTATCGTGTCCCAAGGTACTCCAATCGGAATCAGTGGCCTACTTATAAGGATTACCAGAGTCATACGCGCTAAAGGCGCATGAGGCTTGTAAAGCCTCAGCTATGCGACTTCTAGCTTATATAAAAATAGCTAAAAAGCATGTTTTTTACTACGGTAGCCATTTGCACGTAGAAGTCATCGGAATATATATTTTTTTAAATTTTTACCACGAACACATAAATATAAATTAATCATATATTTAAAAGATGCAGTGTTTCCAGAACATTTTCAAAAAATAAGTTGAAAAAGTTGACATTTGAGAAAATATTACTATTTTGAATCCTCTCCTTTGGGTAAATCAATAGTAAGATTTTCTAAAAAAATATTTAAAATAAAATGAGAATAACTAAAAGCTAAATTTAATAAGCTATTATAAAAAAAAAAATTGTCATGTTTCGTTCATTTTTCAAAAAGTTATGTATAATAAGGTTAAAAATTGTAAAAATTAATTTTCTTGGGAATTATCCTATTTCTTCAATTTTTGAGGGTAAAATGTCTTTAAATAGATACAATTTATGATCTTTTGACGTATCATTGAAAAGAAATGGCTCAGTGGCAGATGAAAAATAATGATAGACAAAAAATTACATATCATTGTAATATAAATCTTTTTAGCTTTGCATAGAAAGCTAATACAGTTACTTTTTAAATTCTGAAGTTGACACAAATTCTAAGCATAAGAGATGGTGGTAAAAAAAAACTATAAACACTAAAAAAGAAAATATTCCATAACACTATTATTTTTAAAAATAATATATAAGGTATAGTTAGAAGATCAGCTTGTTATATTAACTAAAACTAAATTACAAAGGAATCATATAGTTTTGAAATACAAAGTATATACAATTAAAGCAAATAGAATTCTATTTAAAGACACAAATATGTTCTTTTTAGCATATAAATGATTGTAATATACTTACCATTATTTTTATCATACATATAAAACAAGTGTTACTTATTTTAAAATTTTTCAAATATCCATTTAAAATTTATCAGTAATAGGATTTACATTAAAATTATGATATTAAGACTATACATAACTGTTATTCTTTACACAGAATGTGCAATTTCCTTAGACCCTTTAGAATTGCATTGTAATTTCTCTAAACATTTGTTTAATTATTTCAAATACAGTGAAAAATATTTATATAACTTTGAAAATAATACATCAGAATCTGAATTAAAAGATTATGGAACTGCAGTAAAATCTCATGGCGAAATTGTTATGATAATGTTAGATTCATTACGAGAAATGGACGAGGAGTATATTGCAGGTGATATAATGACTGTAAATTTATACTTGAACAACGTTTCAGGATCAATAAATATGATTGCTAAAAATAAAAATGGTGAGTTCAGTAGATCTGAAAGATCACAGAATTTGCTTGAAGGCTATAAAATTCTACATCGTTCAATTGTAGAAAGATTGGAATATTTTTTAAATGGAAAGTGTTTAAATATAACAGTTCAAAAATATTTCGTATCCCTAGCTAATTTTAATGAACCAATTAAATACAACCCGGAAGTATTGCTTAAAGAACTCGAAAAACTCAATAGTAGAATAATTAGTAGTATGAATGAATATTTGACTTTAAGAGATATGTTTGTGGGAACAGATAATAACATATTAAAAAAATATTGTCAGATAATAAAGCATTTGGCGAAATCTTTTGAAAGAAAATCATTCTATATTTTTAATCCTAAAAATGTTTTGTTTTACGATTTGATGGAAAATCGTCCTCGTTTTTCAGAGCTAGACTTTATATCAGGATCTCAATCAAGACAATATGCCAGATATAACAGTGACAAACAGCTAAATGATATTTTAGACATGGTTCGATATGCCCCGTTGAAAATAAAGAACAATAATAATTATCAAATAATGTTATACGATGTGTTTCGATTCATCAAGTTCAATTTTGACATGGAATATGTAGAAGTCTTTAAAACATTATTAAATATAGCAACAGTTCATCCAATTATAATGATTGTATGTTTTTACTTTTCATTAGTTAAAAAATTTGTTTTTCTTCCTAAATTTAAAAATAAAGAATTAAAATTAGCAATGAAAAATCAAATCATTGAAATGGGTCAACATATTGTTGAAATTATAAAATCCTTTATGGATTGGATTTATTTAGAAAAAATTTTACAATTTACGTAGCAAGTCATTTCAATAAAATATATGAACTTATTTTATCTTTCAAAGAACGCAATAATTTGTTTGTAAGTGACGAAATGTATTCGATACCAAAATATTACTATGACTTTATAAGAAAAAGAATGTTAATTTGGAGTATAAATCAATTACAGAAAGCAGATATCACAGAAGACAATTTTAATGACATTTGTCATTTAGCTGCTGAGGAAGTAAATAAAATTGCTTCATTCGTTTTAGGGTTGAAAAAATATAAGTATTGTTTTGAATTTGCGAATAAATATATTCCTACGGATTATGTGGATAAGCGAACATTTAATTGTATTATCAAGTATAATATCCCATTCGGTTAGTTCACAAACTCATTACAAAGATTTTTTTTTCTGTTTAACGAAAAAATGTAAAGAATTTTGGTAATGTTTAAATAATTAATCACGGTTTAGTTTTTATAGAAATATTATTAAAAAAAGATAAAAAAATTTTATCAGCTAAAACGTTAGTCTTAAATAGCATTTAAAATAGGTTTAGTTATAAAAATTAATTTTTATATAAATTAGAATTTGATTTATTTTTATGAAAAATATTAAATAACAACTTTCTTGTAAGAAAAAATTATTCCTAATGGTAGATTTTATTCAAAATTTTTACTGATTTTTAGGTAAATATATATTTATTCTACAAGTGAGAGGGGGCTCAATGTAGAAAAATTCCATGTGTGTGTTATTTTAAAAGTAAAACATCACTGTCACTATCCAGATACTTACATTTTCGTAATCTTTAAATTCTTTAATCTCAAAAAGTAATAATACAAAATGGGTTGTCGACACTAAACATATTATTTTATCTATGGTCAATAAAACAATAAAAAAAAAAAAATTAATAATGTCACCCTTAAAATATATTGTTAGAAATAGTTTGGTTTTCAATATACTATTTCTCGGGGTTCATAAAAATAGATAACATTTTTATCTGTACAATATATATTTTAAATAGATTCCTACACTATGTATTTCAAATGCTCTAACAAGGTATGAAATAAAAAAAAATCTTAATAATTCTGAGAAAATAAAATGTATACCAAATTTGGACCATTTTGTATATTGAAGGTTTACGATACAAAATGTTTAATACTTGACGAAATTGATCATAAAATTGTATGAATCCTTTTATTTTAATGTTTATAAAATTAATATTCGAATTATTTTTGATAAATTTCACCTAAAACGCTAACCACTCGATTGTTATTAAATAATATATTTTTTGAGAAATTTTTTTTATCTTTTGTTAGTTTTAAATATATCTCTATATAATTAGTTCAATTTTTTTAGCTATGTAATACTTTTTAAGTTTATCCCTATTCTTATTGTATTTGTATTGTTTTAATGAGAACCCGCATTTTTAATAATACAATTGTAAAAAAATAAAACTTTGACTTTACAATTTTTTTATCTGATTAGCTGTTTGTGTTTTACAATTGTTGAAAGATTTGGATGTCAAGTAAAAATTCATCATTGATTTGGTTTTATAATTCTGGTGGAAGTGCAACCGGTATTATATCTTCACCGTAGAAGAAATAATCTGTTATAATAGCTTGTAAATTATAATTATAGTAGTTATTAATAAAATTTACCCACGTCAGTTAACCTCTTAAACTTCAGTATAACATTAGAGTATGAATTTTAATAGACATAATATATGAAAGAAAAGATATCTCTACAATAGCTTAACAAGCTGTAACAGAAAACAGTTGATCGAAAAAAAATTGTAAGAACACAGTTGTTTGTAATTTTTCTCTTATCTTAGTGTAAAGTTAAAAATAAGAGTTCTTATTTAAAAGAATTATTAATAAGTATTTTTATCCCTTTAGGCACGAAAAAATAGATCATTTAACTGCTTAATAAAAATATTCTATTTTATAAGGTAGTTAAATATGTATGTTGCAATTCAAAATAATTAAGTTATCTCCCTTAAAAGGTATAAGGAATGGACCTAATATGAAAGTTATAAGGAAATACTTATACTAGCTTAAAAATGATATAATATTAATAGTAACAGTTACAGTACATATAGTCTTTCTTAGTAATGCTACTGTTATTCATCAATGTGAAATAAAATATATATATAATTTTTTACTTGAATATTATAACTAAAAATTTTGTTTGTAGATCAATTAAGAAAATATGAAGACATATATCAAACACTGTATTTTCCTGGTGTCAATACTAGTAATATAAAAAAATATTACAGTCATAGTTCAAATGATGAAAACAATGAGATGAATAATGATGAAAATAAAGTTTTTAATAATGGAACTCAGTCATATTACACTCCTAAATATCTAGTTGATTATTTACTTTATGATTAAATTAATAATTAATTTCATAATAATTTTATTAATAAAATTCTAATAACTTGATTTAAAAAATAGTTTATTAATTTTTGTTCACTTATTATAATCTTATTATATTATATGAAGTCCAAAAGTTGACACTATAAGTAAATCATTTCTTGAGTTAAAAATTTTCTGAATTTTGAACTTTGAACCACGAAATGAAGTTGAATTATTTTTTATAGTCAAGAAGAGACAAGAAGTCATTGATATTACAGTTTTTTTAATGGGGTTTGTTCAGAATATAGAAGAGTGGAAAGTGTTTTCTGAACCTTCTCTCTATGATCACAATTCCAGACGCTTCATTTTGAAACAAACAAAGTTGAAACTAAGATAACTACAGAAAAGACTTTTCTCATGATCTGAAAAACCTTCACATTAGATTAGTGTTGGAAAAATTAATGAAAGTTGTAATTGATAATCAGAATTGCATTGTTTTGGCTTACAAAAAAAACTGTCCTTTGATAGAAAAAAGGTATAAAACTAGGTATAGCTTGATGGAACTTTAATCTGTCAAAATTAAGGAAGAGTTCTCGTTAACTCTTAAACAAAACAATAATATCAGGTTTGGAACAACATTGAGTCCTGTAGGGACTCTCAAAGGAAATACAAATCTGCATTGAAATGTCCCAGAGAGAGCTATAAAAAGTTCTATGGGGAATTATAATAACTCCTTAGAATTACTAGACTTTTACAATCAATTTAGACTGAACAAAACTATTGAAGTAATATTATTGTCAGATGACACACTTCTCAATCTATTATATACTGCAAAAACTAGCCATATACCGGAGGTTCGGGGACGACGAAAAGGTGGCAAAAGCGGTTACAATGGCCGTGACCTATGTTCCTCGTAATATTAGCAAAAATCTACACTAAACCAACGTGCCTATCCTTATATTAGTCAATGAAATAAACAGTTTTTCTCACCTTGCTCAATTAGCATGGGAGAAATCGGAATGCAAATTGTATTGTAAAGATACAATCCAAATAATCTAAGTCGCGGATCATTTATTGGAACGATCCAGGAAAACTTTATGCAAAGCTTGTTACTTAAAAGTTAAGACGACCAACTTTGTATTGTGTTTTATACACAACCTTTTTGGATATGACATGTACTTTATGTTTATACTTTCCTATCCATACAATACCAAATATATATTTAAATAGCTTAACATTTTATTATTATTCACCGAACATTAACTATGTGTAAATAAGTGACATCGCACGTGATTTCTGTGCCTTTTCCTTTTTCTTTTTAAACTGGTTTATTTATAAACCGTTATGGCACAATTATTACTTTTCCATTGTATGTAATAAAAATTTGTTCTTCTCGTTTTGTTTGTTGTTTGGCAATTGCTGCTTAGGTTGTTGTAGTCTGAGCAAATTTTTTTTTCGTTTTACTATAAAGTCTTATTATTGTAATAATAATTATTACAAACAATTAAAAACAGAATTATTCTGTTATCCGTTTTTATTTTAGCCAATAAATTAATGGAAATAAAAATAATTTGTCACGAAATATTAAAAAAATATTAAACATTTAATATTGTTAAAACGTATATAACCACGAATTTTTCGTAGTATGAGAATTCACTATCACTTCTTCTTTATTTGCACAACCTTTACTGTTGTATAAATCCACATTAGAATGTTGCGTGGCCGCAACTATAGACTTAATTTTCAGGTAGGAGTTTTTTGACTGTGATGTATGTCATTGATATTAAAATGATAGAGCCACCGCGAGCAGTTCCGTCTGGATGGTTAGTTTTGTATAAAGTATAGTTAAAAATTTTAAAGTTAGATTTTTCGGTAACGTGTGTTTCACTTATAAGTGCTATGTCAATAATTGACGAATACTTTATTAAAAATAAATTATTTATTTTTCGTTAAGTACAGTTTGTAGTTCATCTTTGTGTTGATGTAAGCCGTTAGCATTCCATAGGAGTACTTTGATAGCATGTTTTTGAGTAGAGTCATTATTAATCATTTTTCAGAAGAATTTTGTTTATTACAGTTGTTAATAGTGTTATTAAAGGATTGATTATGGATTTAAGGTCAGTTAAGAATAAGGAGAGTTGTTTAGTAAGGTCGTTACTGTCTATATTGGTCATGTGATTTTGTGTATTGTTTTTAGAGTTATGCTGTTGAGTTACATGTGCGTTAGTACTATGTTTGTTAGTGTTTGGTGGCTGGGTGTTACCAATGGGGACTTGTATATTATTATATACACTATTGACATTATTTACATTATTTATACAGTTTTCATTTGGATTTATAAAATTATGATTAAAATGGAAATTTTTTCTTTGGTTTGAATTAGCGTTCCTTTTCTGCTGTTCATTTTTATAAGCAGGTCAACTACGATAGTTTGCTGGGTGGGCTCCTCCACACAAGGTACATTTGGGCGGCTGATCGACAGGTTTGAGGCACGCATCAGTCAAATGTGAGCCATCACATTTAACACAACGGGGCTCGTGATTACAATATTGTTTTGAGTGACCAAAGTTTTGACACCTAAGGCACTGAATTTGATTGTTGTTTGGTTTGGGTACTTCAAATTTGACTTTAGAATAGCAGATAAGGTTTACTTTGAAAATATCGTTGTTGTTTGGCTTTGGCACAAGATCTATGAAAAACATAGGGAGGGGGGTTTTAGACTGACTTCTTAGGACATTAACCACTTGTTTAACATTGAAACCAAGTTTTTTTAATTCGTCTTCTATAAATTTTATGTCTGTAGAATGATGCAGTTTTTTGAGAACGACACGAAAAGGTTTATATTGTTAAGTTTGGTATGTGTGGAAATCGACGTTTTTTCGTACAAGTAATTGAACGATTTTTCTATAAGATTCAGGAGTATTGAGATTAAGACGAAAACTAGAGATACTGCTCTTACACAAAAATTCATTCGAACCAATATTTTTTTTAATTAGTTCACAAAAGTTTAAATAATTTAACTCAGATTTAATAAATATGGGAGGTGGCTTATGAATAATTGGTTTGGTTGTGAGTTCCGTTTCAATTTCCTCGTCATTCGTTTGTAACGGACTATACCGGTTTGATAATCTCCTAATGTTATTATTACATGGGCCGTGTTTAGATATTGGCGATGAACCAGGTGATTGAGTATGAGGTCTTTTGTTCGATGATGAAAATACTGTAATCCACTCGTCATCAGAATCGGCGGCGTTATCGGGTTTATTTGTTTCGCTTTTGTTAACTATCTGGCTACGGTTAATAATAGTAATTAGCCGTTTGAGATGACGGTGGCGTCTTATTGCGGTTATACATTTTGCGACATTTAAGTGTATTATAATTCTTACCTTGATCCCAAACGATCACACGGTGTTGTGAGTTTTATGCAGTAAACGATCTCTGTAATGCGGACTTTCGAACAGTATAAGTTTGAAAAAAGAAACACAAGGTTTGACGTAGTTTTAGATATAATAATAGCGGGAGCGTAACACGAGACAACATATAAACATTAAAATAATAATACTAAATAAATACAACTCAAACTTTGTAACTAGCGGGTAATCTTATTATTCTATTTGGTCAATTCTTCCTTTCCTTCTGCTTTTTGCTTTCTGTTCCTACACCATTACTTTCCTCTATCATCCCTTATAATATAAGATCTGGGTCCAGCTTCTTTTACTATAACTTCTTTCAACCACTCATTGCCTTTTTGCATTGATACTTTTTGTCCTATCACAAAACTATCTCTCTCTTTAGTATTCCTAACATAATACATTTTATACTTCAATTTATTTTCACATAATTTATCATAAATATCACTTGGCACTTTAGGAACTAATTTATTTGTATGTATTGGTAATGCAGTCTGTAATAATCTACCCATTAGTAGTTGACAAGGTGCTAAGCCTATGGACGGTATTGGTGTTACCCTATATTGTAATAAACCAAAAATAAAAAGAAAGAAAAGAAAGTATATTAGATGGGGGTAGATGGTAAGGGTAAAGGTAAATAATTAAATAAAATAAAAATAAATAATGGGTTATAGTTATATTAATTATGCGGTTTTTATTATTAAATTATAATTAAAATAAAAATGAAATATATCGTCTATAATATTTATTATATGATTTACACAATAATTGTTTTTCTTATTAATTATTAATTTTTCTATTTCATTTTTATTAATGGTTTATTACGCAATAGATTGTTAGAGATTCGAAAGTATAGATTAAATTGTACTTACCTTACGGCGTGTGTAATGCAATAATATTTCAAATAATCCAATGTTGATTTTGGTATTAAACGCACTACATATACGATTTACACTATACGTCATATAGTCCATATAATTACTTACAAAAACTATTCAAAATTTTAAATAATAAGATTTAACTACACAAAGTCTACGACTGATCTTACTTGAAAATGATTCTAAACACTCTATATTTTATTATAAATATAATTTAATTTTTTTACTTATTGATTTTTTTTACGTCTGTTGAATAAGTATTTTTTTAGAGAGTATATTTTCTTTAGAGATCGACACCAATATTTCTTACATTTTCCTCTGGCCTGGCCAAAACAAAATTTAGAAATATTTATATCTTTGTAAAAAAATTTATCAAGGCGGAATTGTGGTGGCCCAATGTGTCCCAGCACTAGAAAGCGCCTTGAAAGAATGCGACACAATAATCACCAAGACAAAAATTAAACATTAAAAATATATTTGTAAGTTTTTTTGCACTGTTCGCCGGCGCGATGCTCGTTAAAGCAAAGATATTAAACTCAAAGACTAGCTACCCAATACACATAGGCTTACAAATATATTCTAAACTAATACACCTAATTCTAGAATAATATTTAGTTGCAACCTTTACTCTGTCCGCCAGCGCGATGTTTGTTAGAACAAAAACATTAAGCTTAAAGACTAACTACCCAATAGGAAAAGATCACAATATATTTTTATTATTAACTAAAATTTAAAGTTGTATTGGATTTATTATTAAAATAAAATAATTTTAAAAAAGGGTT